GAACGATGACCCTAATGATGGAGGTAGCAAACGCCTCTGAAACGCCGGTTTACGGTAATTCCAACTTCTCTTTCTCCACATTCTCATAAGAGCGACAACCGATCAAAAGGGACCGAGAGTGAATCTGTGGAAACTAAGATGCTGTGTGAGGTTAAGCTCCTTAAATTATGTTTATTTAGTGTTTACACATTTTCTCCAGCATTTCTCCCAGTGCAGGAATAACGTCTGAGACTCAATTTCTAAACTCTACAAAGGCCATTCAATTGCATTATGAGCAAATGTTTTCATATCGAAACATTATTTTGCATTTCAAGTTCGTTATAGAGGGGACGCAACGTATCTCCGAGCTCAGTTGACCGTTCGCTCGTATACATGTCGGAGAGAGGGAAAGACCGAGTGAGGTAACCTAATATTTCCTTGTATACTAATGTGAAATTATTACGTTTAGGCTGTAGGAGTAATGTGTACGAAGTAAGGCGTGTGCCATCAGCTCGGAGTTATTTTGCGTCTTCTGTAAACTAAAGGCACTTAAGAATCAGGTCTGTCGCGTTGAGAGGCTGTCTCCTTTGCGGATAACTGTGATTTGCTACGAGCTGTTGCCACTTAACGGGCTCAATTTATGCATTCGTTCACGGCACACTACATCACGGGAAAGCATCAACACTTGTAAACAGAAATATTGCTGACTTGTCTGTTCTTGTGAAACGAATCTTGGTAATCTATGAAAACAATAACCGCTACTGATTTCTCTGAAGACGTGCTTGTCTGGTTGCGGCAAGACAAGGCATTCCCACTGTTACACTCGCCGTTTAGTTTCGTGGTTATAACTGATAACTTTACATCAACTGAAAAGTTTATGGCGCTGACCTTCATATTTTTTTAACATTTAACGCAGATGGATTGTTCTGCACCATCCGATATGTTTGCGATGACATGTTACTTCAAGTTCAAACCTGCTTACATCCGTTATATCGCTACATTACAGCGCGTCAGAGTGAGTAGACTTAACGACGTCTCTGGCAAAGTTTTTAACTCAATATGATTTCAGTATTAATACTCTTTATTGTGACATTAATCTTTCTACCGTCTTACGTTTTATTATTTCTGGAAGAATCTCTAAACATCTGTACAGACTTCAGTCACTTTCTCAGATGTCAATAAAACGATGCAGTCAATACCAAAGGCGCTCTGGATATCGGGAAATTGGGGACACATTTAAGAACGTCTTTTTATCGAAATATGCCATTGTAATGTGTACGAATACAAAAAAAATATATCCTTCCTATACGGCAATGAAGACACGAAGTTGAAATCGCTGTATTTATGTTATAAGATGTTACTGTACACACAAATGCACTCGCATATACTGTGCGCCGTCTGTGACACAGTACGATATAACAGAAAAAATGTATATGTGTGCATATTACGTTCTAATGCTAACTGAACAAGTTCTTCCTTCACCTTTTTCCCTTTAGAATCACCAAAACAGACTGACTTGTAAATTCGTCAAACAGCCTATATAATAAAAGTTGCATATTTTAACAATAATCTGAACTTAAAAATTCTTATCGCTGCCACGTACCCATTCTTAATATAAACCATGCTTGGAGGTTTTGTGATATTTCACACTTATCTCATTATTTCCTGTCAATTTATTTTCTGTCACAGACGTGTTGTTTATTATTCCCTACTAAGCCCAATAACATTCAGAAAATAACAGTAGCCTAGTGTCAATTCATTCTAATTTTATTTCCTATTTATTATTTTTTCTGCACAAAATTCACTCAACAATATGTCAAGTCCGGTACTTAGTCTGTTAAGAAATTATATTTTTACTTGAATAGATCTTCACAACGAAAGGCACGAAACCTAAAATCCTGCATCCGGATTCTGAAACCCCAGAAATGTAACTGTTGAGTGGACATGTTACTTCAGTATCTAATTTTGCAAGCGTCCTGTATCCCCTTAGACAAGCTGTTCCCACCCCTTTGTATTCTGCTCATACAGATTAACGTCATTTTCCAGTTACAGAGTCGTGGGACAGGATCATAGTGTTCAAAAATAAATTACTTTATGCGTTGACAGTGTGTAATGATATCATAATGATAAATATTTAATTCATACTAAAGCATAAAACGTAACTGTAAGCTACAAACAAATATGCAGATCCAATCTGAAAACTCTGTTTTCATATTCCTGTTTCTCATCGGTTAGGGTAAATCGAATATCGTTATGGCTTCGGGCAGGGGTTTAGTTTTAATCTGCGTCATAATATGCCAGCCATGCAAAATACGCTGCCCGCGGAACGTTGGTGTCAAGAAATATCACCTTATGCGCCCCCTCCCCTCATTTCAAAGACGTAATGTTTAAATCCAAAATCACAATAATCCCTATCCCACTTTTATTGGTGATACAGCTATTAAATTATTTTCATTCAGAACGTATAAATAATTTATTTAACACGAATTATTCATGAGACATAGATAATTTCGTCCCAGTTCATGAATTTTAAAATTCACCTGGAAGCATGCACACTACAGCACAAAATCATAATACAACGATACTACTGTATGGGTGTGAAACTTGGTCTCATATTAAGGAAAGGACACAGACTGACGGTGTTTTACAACATAGCGGTGCTATTTGGATATGAAAGGAATAAATTTACAAAAGACTGGAGTAAAATACATAATGATGAGCTTCATTATTTGTTCTTCTCAACAAATATCAAGATGATAAAATCAAATAAAATGAGATGGGAGGGGCATGAAGCACTCATGGCTAACGTCAGAAATGCTTAAAATATTTTGTTTGGGAAGCCTGGAAGAAAGGTGCCGCTTTGAAGATCTAGACGTAGATCGGAGAATAATATTAAAACTGATCTTAAAAAACAGGATGGAAGGGTGTGTTCTTCTTTCATGTGGCACAGGAAACGGACCTATACCTATACATAAGTCACTTCTCTCAAGATGTCACGGAGTGAGACACTAAGATAGAAAACTATTAGGCACCTTGTTTCTTACTAAACAAAGTTCATATTTTATTGTTAACGTTTTCCATTTACATAGAACGTCAATTTTGTACATCAATGAAATTTTACCGTTTCATTAACGTGTCAAACAGGTTAGGATTACACTGCCCCAAAAGATTTTCTTTGATTATTGTACAACGATGCTTTACGAACTCCTCAAAGAGAATAACTTAACTTGCACGACCTAAATTTACTAAACACGATACAATGACTGGCAGCAGCATTATGCCAAATCAATGTATCCTGTATTCATAACGGAAACTTAAAAATAATATGTTACCATCTGACTTGTCCAAAAGGCAAAGACAATCTAGAATAATTAAGTTACTCACAAAATACTTATTTAAACAATCCCAATACACAACTCAGATCTAAAACCACACCTAAGCCTGCAAGAGATTTGAGGTTCTCACGGAAGTGAAGACGTTGATGTTCTTTTGGGTCGAACGCCGTGTGGACTCGCAGTTAGATTCCATCGTTTCGACTGAACATACTGAACCCATCTTCAGAACGGCGTTACGACACGGAACAACATTTCGTACTTCGGCGTATATCCGATAATTTGTTTTTCATAAGACATTTTACCTTCAT